ATTAGCTAATTTTCATTAAAATCATTCATTGGACAAAATGCTGTCTGTTTTGGTAAAAACTTCGGTGGCCTTGCATTCCGCATTTCCCTGTACTTGATTTGAAGGCACGAATGTGTCACGAAAACTTTGGTCTGAACACGATCGGAGCTGCTCCCATGGCGGTAGCACGCTGCACTATGTCAGTCGTGCTATTTCCACGCTCTCCGATACGAGGGTCTTGTCCCATTGTTGGCCGCGCCACCCAAAGCATGGGCAACAGGCTCGACCAACTCGGATGCTCGCAATGATCGATCCGAGTGAGCCCAGAATCCCAGGCCAGGGGATGGGGCAGCACCACACTGCAGTCCCCTAGCGAGTCGAGAAGTCGTCACCGACGTTTTTGTTGTATTGTACAACTAGCTCGGACAAGATCCAAAGCATCCTCCCCAGTGGCAGATGTGCGAGAAGGCGACATGAAGCAATTATCTTTCAAAGAGTTTCAAAACTCAAAACGATGACGTCAAAAACGCGCCATGAATGGGGCGACCGTACGCAGGACATGTCATGGAAATCGGAGGCATCCTCGATTGCCCCAGCCAACTCAAGTCGTCATGAACGATCTCTTCTACTTGAGCGCAATGGCCCACGCGAGCGTCGGCTGGATCGAGGTGCCGTCGACCAAGGCTTCGTACGCCAAGTGACCTGCAAACATGACCGATTTGTACTCGGTCCCGTTGTCGTCGATCTTGACATCCACAGTGAGGTAACCCGCAGTGACTTTTCCAACTTCGACGACAGGAAAGTCCCCGCCAAGTTTCACCATTTCGCGCACATGTGACCCATACGGTGTGAATTCCCCTGGCCTGGCTTTGCGTATCTGTAAGATCTCAACGGCATCCAGATCGCCCTGCCACACGCCCGCGTCGTCAAACACTGAAAAGACCGTGATCCACCCGCTGAGGTGACACGATCCCGACCCGTGCGAGACAGAATGGCAGATGCGCTGCCAAAACTCGACGTCGGGCTTGTTGTTGGCCGCTGCCACGAATTGGTCCAACACTGGTGTAAGCATGCTCATCCACTTTGTTGTCAGATCACCAAACGTGGCGAGTTTGTCCGCTCGTCGGCGAATGTCTTCCCAATCCGAGACAGTCCCGAGGAGCGTCACCGTCGGGATGCCGCACGCGAGCTGGCATGAGTACGTAAAGTACTTTTTCATGGACGCCATCATGACAACACTGCCGACGATGCGGTCGTGAAACGTCGTCGTGCTGAACGACGGCAGCACCCACTCGCTGAGCGCAGGGTCGACGAGGTGGTCCGTCATTTGATCGATCATTTGGGTTGCCATGTATCCGTAGTCCACAGTTCGCAGCGATCCGACGTCCTTCACCACAAGTTCCTTTTGACCTTCTTGGTGCTTGACCAGTGCGTGGCGCAAGTCCTCGGCGTTCTTGTTCACAAACAAGCCAAACTGCGTCATGATGGCAAGCCAGACGTCATCTGGACGCAGCACGAGATGGTGGTGGTTGTTGTATGCCCGCACGACGCCATGGACAAACCCGTTGGGTGATCCAATGCGTGCGTCAAGGTTTGGCGACGCCTGTAGAACGTCGCGGCAGTTGGCGTCTTTGTACTCTCGTCGCTCGGCCACAGGATGTCCCGTGGGTCTCTCCCACTCGTTCAGCTCGACCTTGTTGGCCTCGACGGGGGAGACAGCAAACGTGACCATGGAAGTGTTATATGGGACGCAATGATTTCACAACTGAACGGGTTGTCGTCGTGGTTACCTGCGGCTCGCATCCTTGTCGCTGGCTCGCCACCTTTCGACCCAACGGCACGGTGCTGTTCGCGACGTTTCGAATCACAGGGATGCATCCCCTTGTAACGTTTAGTACAAAACCCAATCTTTGAGGGACCTCGAAGCTTGGATGCTCGGAAGTACCGTTGGGACTTTGCCCATTGATTTCAGTACTACCGTCGACTTTGTCTCCCCAATTCGGATTCTGCCCGTCCCATGGGACCAGTGATCACCCAAGTAGTACATTGCCCGATGAATTTGCTCGGATTGCAAGGGACATACACGATGCATTGGGATTGTGCCCAATAGAATGAGGGTGGACGATGCACGACTGCAAAATGCACCAGGATAGCGGTGCCACCTCGACACTCTGAACAGAGGAGCGGGCATCTTTGACGTGTATGGCGCGCGAGGCAGATGAGAAGCAGGACGTATGCTCATGTCAACGGAGGGTGTGGCACAAATGGGCGTGTTTCGTGGCAATTTGACAAGGTGGCTGCAAAGGAAGAACACCTTGCGCACTTTGGATCGATGCAAGTTGGCTTCGTGCATGCCTCGCGTCATGAGCCCGCATTGTTAGCAACTTTCTCTCCAACGACAGCCGATCGGCTGGCCAGTCTCGCAAGGTATCACGCCACAATTGCCGCACGTCGTTCGTGCAACCTATGGGGTGCCAAAATGAATTCGTCGAGTTCAGGTCGAGGAAATGATAGCTACCGTGCTTTAGGAGAGGCACCGTGAGTGCACGACCAGGTTTTGGTGCGGCGTCCCAGCGCTGCAGCATGGACACGTTTCCCCGAGGATCGGGATAGGCGGTATCGAGCGGCAAGTGCCCCCGCGTCAAAGTTCAAATGGTAGCTACAAATGGATGCGTCGCCGTGAGATGGAATTGAAACTAATGTTGAGCTTCATCATGCACCGCGTTTTCTTGGTGGCCGACAAATTCAAATCGCGCACGGACGATACGCTCTTGGACGCCATCCCAGCCATAAACGTTTGCGGCTGGGAGCTGCCGCCGCCAGTCTGGCTCGCGCATCGTGATTCGAATGAAACGAAGGCAAGAGCAGGTCGACATCAAGTTGAGTCGCAGTACACGAATAAAGCACATCAACCATGATGCTTCATGCAATATCGAATGGACATTGCAACGGCATCGTTGCCATAAACGTTCCTTGGGTGCTGCCGATACGCGAAACCAGTGGTCGCCAACTTTGACAGCGTCGCCACGTCGGACTTCGTGATATCTTCTTTCGTCGCCACCATGTAGCATCCTTCGGACGCAAGTGCATGACGACTAGATGGGACAGTGCCTCACCGTGCTCGACCAGACCAGTCCCCGACAACTCGACAAGGAATTGGGCCCCACGCGGGTAGTACACGTCATTGCCGTCCTCCGTGTTGCGGATGCAGATGACGGTCCCAATGCGCGTGAGATCGCGGAGGTCGTCTTCCACGTTCTTGTAGCCATCCTTCAGATCATGGAAGGGAATTCTGCCTTCAGGAGACTACTGCGGGACAGGGAACCAACGAATCACGTGGCCATGCGATGGAATTTCCCGATTCAGTTGTCGAAGGAAATCAATGCGACTTTTGCCTGTCGAACTTGGCCTTGTACGCAATCTTGACCCCTTTGGATCGGATACCTTTGGGTTGTGGCGCACATGAGAGATATCGACACATGAAGTCGACAAGTTGACGAGATCATGACAATGCCAGTCTTTTGGTAGAAGATTTGAAGAAGAGAGGTTTGGGTGGGGGAATGCTTGTGATCGACCAGACGATATACGTACTCACAACCCACTTGCAGTGTTTGTGCATTTGCAGTGTTTGTGCATTTGCAGTGTTTGTGCATTTTCGACCTTGGCGCGATGTAGCACGGTGCATTCCCGTCGTCCCAACTGCACCGACGAAAGCGAATCACGCTCGGCACGATGAGATATATCGTGGCTGCACTTCCTCCCCCATTTACCATCGAGCTTGCAACTCCTTCTCTGTATGGATCTTCCCGGGGCAACATGCCGTGGTCGGCATGCCTTCCCTGACGATGTGCATGACTTTTTCAAGCACGTGATTGATGTAAGAGTCTAAACACCAAGGCAGCACATGCTCCACCAAATCATATGCTTGTTGATTCGACATGCACACGTCGCCCAGCCTAACATGGGCATGGCCAACGAGAGAGCGTATCTCGAGCTCGGTCGCGAGGCTCCTCTACGCACGATGGCTCCCTCGTCATCGACCGTATTCCCTGTGTCAGGTGGACTGTTCAGCAGAGTTACCGTAGCTAGCCCATGAAGTAGAACAAGTTGCCACGTCAAAGATAATCAACTGAGCACTTGCTACCGCCTTTTGTGTTACATACAACTCGGTAAACTCGTCGCGCTCGACTGCCTCTTGCGTCCCACGGCTAGCTCCCCACAGCGACGGATTTTGGCTGGACTCGCTGGCTTTTCCATCGATGCCATTGGCTGAAATCACTTCAAGACCAATTTGATTGGCTTCCATATCCGGATTTGTTCGGATACGGTACGATTGTCACAGTTACTGTGTCGTGCGTGGTGTGGTCGTAGCACGACAGGAACGTATTTAATTGCATGCGGTTTGTATGGCACGGTTGCGAATTCACATTAAAATACGTCCCTAAAAAGCCAGCCGCCGGACGCAAGACTCGACGGTGCGGTCATTCTTGGTCTTGGTCGGGCCTCGCCATGTACTTTGGCCATGCGGCTTCTACGACACCGCGACAGCACAATCAGCGGCAGCCGGCGCCGCCGTCGACGGATCTAAAGGATGCAGGCTTCTTGCCCACTTATGCCATGCACGAGACAGAGAGTCCGTCGCCGTCACCCGCGTCGCAGCATGGCAGAACGTCGTCACTGTCGATGGACGATCCGACGGTGCAAAAGTCGCTCTTTGAGATGTTTAACAAGCGCGGGTACAACCTTATCTCGCCTTCCAATTCGATAGTGAACGGGAACAGCAGCTTCTCCAGCACTGCATCGTCGTCCATGTCGAGCGTCATCGGGTTCCGCGAACCCGTCCATGGCCAGACTCCGATCCACATTGCCATTCGAAGAGGAGATGTTCAAGTCGTGGAAGCGCTGTTGAAAAGCGGCGACATGGACATCCTTCAGATGCGGGACGATCACGGGAACACGCCGCTTCATTTTGCCGTCGGCATCTCGTCTCGGCGAATGTCCACGTCGATTTCAATTCAAATGGTCGGCCTCCTCCTCGCCGCCGGCGCCAGCGTCCACGCAGTAAATCACAAAGGCCGAACCCCCATCATGGTGCACATGCTCACGATCCGACAGGATGATCCGTCCATACTCACCATGCTACTCAAGGAAGGCAGCAACGTGAATGCTACAGTCGACCGCGTCCCGCTGCTGCATTTGGCCGTGGCTGCTCGCTTGCCCATCATCACTGCTACGCTTGTCACCCATGGCGCCGACCTGCATGCTGTGAACGAGCTCGGGCTGTACTTGCGCGAAGCGGCTCCGATGAACATGCTGGTGACGATGCTGGCCCATTTGACAGTCACGCCATCCTTTGTTCCGTTCGAAGCACACAGTCAGTGCATGGATTGCCATCGATATATCAAGCCTTCGAAGCGTCCGAGCATGTTTCGGTGGCTGTTTCGATCCAAAGCTGAAGCCACGCACTGTTTTCTGTGTGGATGGGTCTACTGCAGCTCGTGTACTGGGGTGCACGCGCTCCGCGAGGCGCTGCCTCCATTTTTTCATCGAAGTGAAGCCGAGGAACTCGAAGACAAACAAAGTCGAAATGGCAAATGCACAACCCCCGCGGGTCCCTTTAAAATGCCGCGCCCAGGCCGCGCCCCCGTCGGGCTCCGCAAGGACGTCGCCATTCGGTGCTGTCGGATATGTGCCAACCTGCTCAAGGAGCGGCTCGTCAAGAGCGCCCGGGCGAGCTTGTACCAATTCCAGCAAGGCTCTTCTGCTTCACATCTCTCTCGCTGACGAGATATTTTCAAGACGGACACGTCACATCATCGTATAGAATACATACCCACCGCCAACTGGCCAAGCGAATAACATTAAGCACCAACTACTGTCGACCTCACTGCATGACCTGGCGATGCTTTGGCGGCGCCGTCGGAACTTTTCGTGCGGTCTGTGTCGAAAGCCCCCTCTGACATCGACTGCGGGAAACATCAGGTTCATACGCGGTGAAGTTCTGCGTGGATCGTGACGAGGGAATGTTTCTGCTGCACGCATCGGATCACTCGATCTCGGGCGACATTTGCAGCTCAACAGGTGCGAGTAGCAGGGCATAGCGCTGTGAAATATCACGAAGCCACATGGCCCGACTGTTCCAACTATGCGATTGCCATGCACCCGATGGATGCACCCATGCGTTGAGCGCGAACGAATACGTCCTGTTTTCCGGTCCATCCAGTCGGGCAGTCGCTTGCGCGATCCGATCGCGCACACACGACGTGTCCTTTGCGTGGGGAGCATCGTGGGTGACGAAGGGGTGTTCACTCATGAGGAGGTCGGTGAGGTCGTTTTTGATTGTAGCTATAGCTAGACCGTAGTGCCCTTGACGGAAGGGGGCGAGAGCGAGTCGTGTGAGATGGAAGGGAGCCAGTAGAGAAGAACGTTGGCGTCGATGCCAAAGTCGTCCCTTAATGAGACGTCAGTGCTGGAATAGGGTGGGCACTCTTTCTGCGTGGGTCGACATGGAGGCGGCAATGGCGCGTACACAACTCCCAAACAAACCTAGCACACTGGACGCATTGGCGGTGGCGCTGCGTTCGCACAGCCAGGCTCATCTTGATCCGTCGGGAGCAACCCGGTGAGCATTGCCACATCCGACACGAAATGTCCAGTCGGGGTATTCGCACTGGCGCTTTGCTCCGTGGCGGGCGACCAGATTGCGTGCGGAGGCTTGGTTGCGGCACGAGTCAACGGCGCAGTGGCGCTGGCTCGTGCGGAACTCGCAGCGCCACATGTTGGAGTCCGCCGTAGGGGCATGGCACACCCGTGACAGAAGCAAGTAGATGTTGTGCGCATAGTCGATCGTGTTTGTGAACAACCGACCGACTGACTTGAGGTGTAGGCTACAACTTCTTGGCAAATCCAGACTGGTTGACGTCGGGTTTTGACTGTAGTTGTTTCGAATGACGAGACATCTTGATATGGGCGGACTGAGTTTGTCGGATCTGCGCGCCGCGTCGGCTCGCCGGTCGCAGCTAGCCCCGTCCACGTAACCCGCCGCGCACTTGTTGTGTCTGTGGCCTGGTGACTGGGTGCTGTACGTTTTCTGGCGATGTCCGCCGAGAGCAGGCAGTGCCGCACAGTTGCCACCATCGTCATTGAAAATCACGACTCCCGTCGTGCTTTGGCGCCGACTGTTGTATTTGAACTCATCTTAGATCCGTTGCTTGGATCCGTGTGCATGCATTCGGACGACGACGGCAAGGTGGACGCACTGACTCCACCACCCAAGGGCTCCACGTGGCGCGGCGGTCGCCCGCCATGATCGAGTCACGCACCCAACGTCCTGGACAAGTTGAAATATTCCCCCCCATGTGACATGGGTCAAATTCGGAACGTCATCCACATTTTATCCAACTATCCACCGTTTTGAGAAAGTTATTTTGTCCAAAAATCGATCAGAGTTGTGAAATCCAGTGAGAGCATTTTTTTAGCAAAATCGACCAAATTCGGACTAAGATCATACTGCGACTCCAGCGTGAAATTTCCACACCTCAGCACCACGGCATCGTTCTTTGTGCCCGTAAGAGGTAGATGCTGGGCGTTTGCGTTGCAGCCGACGTATCGAATTCATGCTGGTTGAGCATGTGAATTTTCATGCAACTTGATGGATTGATATGTGTGTTCGAATGTTTGATAAACACTTTACTTCAAACAAGAATACTACATATACTGCCATTTTTTGTGAGAATGTAAAATTAACTGCAAATGTCAAGAGTAACAACGTGTGATCTGGAAGGTTCTTGATTGTACAAATCTGCTGCACTGAATGTGCCCATGAGCGCACCCGTTTGGCAATTTCCAACGTGGTTGCACAGTTTGACCGCCGCCATTCATGCACTCTGCTCCCCATGCCTGAATTTTAGCCCGGCATCGCTAATGACGAACTCGGCGGCAGCTTGAAGGACCGGGAGAGCTGTA